ATATATATATATATATATATATATCTTTGTGTGTCTGTGTGTGTGCGTGCGCGCGCCGCAATCCGTGACATGTTGGTTGGCGGGGTTCACTGCAAGTCCCCTCAAATGAGGGTTCGATCCCCAGTGGCGCTGGGTTCTCGAATATTTAGGCGCATGACGTGGGCTCTCATCATGGAGCCTAGCACATGGGAATCGTTATTTGGGTTGTTGAGAAATTAGGGCGAAGAAAAACAGTAAGCGACACAAATTCAGAAGAACACAAAGAGATTTAACAAGGTTCGACAAAGACGCCTACGTCATCGGGAGCAGAACGACGAATTACTTTCAATATTCAGGAAAGAGATTACAGAAATCAGGGATACCTTATTGGGTTACAAACAGACCTATGTATAACCCCAAGAGTAAACTCTAAGTACAATATGTAATTACAATATTCCCCTGGTACTGTACTGCGGGGCTTTACCCCCGCACCCCCAACCCACATAACGTAACTTCCCGATTTGGATAGATTCTTCCGCTTCGCTCTGCTCCGCTTCAATCCAGCGTCTGTCCCGATATGGTATATGAGCCATACCATAACAGTTTAAATATTTATATAAATAAACTTTAAATTTATTTAAATTATAGAAGTACGTAAGAATTATGATATTTATGTACTCCCTTTCCACAATTACCAACTTCCAAAATCTCTACTTAATATTAATTTTAGTATGCATTAAAAAAATATTAAAATTTATTATTTTAACAAAATTATCTAGATGTTGTTATTATAAAAATATGTAAATTTAGGTGTCAGGTATGAAAATAAATTTGATTTGGCTGGTCTGTGTAAATATCACTAAAACAAAACATATGGGTCCAGAGTATGTTAAATGTCATTTCTCCCAAATAGTTGTCGGGGACTGCCGGCTTGGCTCTTCTTCACAGAAAAATATTATATCAGGACTCCTAATGTAGAGCTACGTTCGGATTGAAATATTCGGCTGTATTACGAGAATATTTCCTCTGCATTATTTGTAAGAATGATGCGTTATTCGAGTATTATATGGTGTTATTCGATTATTTTTGCAGTGTTATTGGAATATTTCCGTGTGTTACTTAATTTGGGGCAATGTTATCCGGCATATTCCCCGTGTTATTTCAATTTTCACTACGTTATTGCAATAACACATGCCCAAATGGGGAATATTCGGGGAATATTTCAATAACACTTCAGCCCCATATCAAGTAGCGCGATGAAATATTCCAATAACACCATAAAATAATCGAGTAACACCATATAATACTCGAATAACACATCTTTTTTACAATAACTCAAATGAAATATTCCCGTAACACAATCGAATATTCAAATCCGAACGTAGCACTATGTTAGGAGTCCTGATGTAATATTTTTCCTCTCATCACACATGTAAATAGATAAAATTGGATGGCATGTTTGTAAATTGCCTCAAGAGTTTCACATGCATGTCTCCCGAACTCTTAGTCCCACATGGCTTAAATGAGGGAGAATTCCCATTAGGAATCCTATTAACATGTAAAAAAGAAAATAAAAATCACAATTTAGAAAATAATAATAATTTAAAAATAATAATAATTAAAAATAATAATAATAAATATAAATATAAATAATAATAACAATACAAACATACACATACATATATTTAAAAAAAGTTAATAATAATACATACATACATATGTAAATAATAACAAAAATAATAGCAATAGCAAGAATAAAAAAAGTTAATAATAATAATAAATAATAACTACAATCATAAGTTTTAATAATAATAATAAGAACAAGGAAAGCATTAACAGTAAATAATTAATAATAATAATACTATACAAAAATATATATGCATACATAATAATAAAATAATAACAACACTATAATATATATATAGACATATATAAATTAAAAATAACATACATAAATGAATAGCAAATAAAATAGATTAGCACAGTAATAATAATGAATAATAGTAATAATATATGTATACCATAAATAAAAGTAATAAATCAATGATAATAACTGGTAGCACTAATGAGTGCATTGCATTAACCTATGGTGAGCTATCTCTCTCTTTTCTATGTGATTTCATATGAATCATTGAATTTACCTATAAGTTGGAAGTGTTAGTGATACGGGCGATGATGTAAAACATCCATTGCTAAGTTCGTGTTAATAGAGTTGTAATAAGTCTCCTAACCCAATAAATTTGTGAGGGTTCAGGGCTGGTATTACTATTCTGCAATATCATATGTGAAGTTGTCTTTATTTTTTTAGGCTACCGGCGGCTCTAGCCCAACAGTTTAAACGACCTGTAAACCCTTTGACTTAGTTTTTTTTCTTCTTTTTAAATAATGAGTTTGGAAACTTCCCACTATAATTCTTTTTTCTAACCTCTTCTCAGCTATCATAGAGAGAAAATTATAGGAAAATTTACAATCACACCACCAAATTCTTACGTATTTACATTTTCAACATTATGATAGTGTTATAAACCTATATACCAAAAAAAAATTATATTCCACTTTTTAAAAAAATAGCAATAGCACTTTTGATATGATATTAGACATTTGAGAGTGATGTATGTAAATATGAAAGTTAAGTGGTAAGCATCTAAATATGTAATAATTGTGTGGTCCGTATGTAAATGACCTGTCTTTCACAGATTCGGAAGCCAACCTAACATGGGATGGCTTGAGACAATGGGTAGTGAGAATACTGAATATCAAATGAAGCAGTAATTGATTTCAGTCCCTATTAAAGAAAAATTTATTACGTCCGTCGTCCGCACGTCAAACTAAATTTATTAGTAAGCTAACAAATCACTATCATGCACTTCATTTGTGATCATTCATGAAGATGATGCTCTAGAATTTTCGCTCTGATAGCTACCCCTCCATAAGTAGTTATTATAGCTAGATTAATTCATCATACTTGCAATCCATACAGTATCAGTGGAGGTAGAGATGGCCTCGTATGAAAGGAGAAAGGTGACTTTGAAGAGCTCGGACGGCGAAGAATTCTTGGTAGAAGAAGCCGTGGCAATGGAGTCTCGGATGATCCGTTACATGATTTGGGATGGACTAGCAGGTGACGTGATTGAACTCCCTGGCGTGAAGGGTAAGTTTCTATCTATGATTATTGATTTTTGCAAGAAACGCGTTGCATGGGCTGCTGGCGGCGATGGGACTTTGGAAGGCTTGAAATCTGATTTTGTGAAGGTTGATTTGGGCACACTGATCCATCTTAGTGCAGTATGTCTTCCCTTCTTGTCTCTATTTTGTTTTACATAAATATGTATCGATTTTTTTTCTTTTTTTTTTTGGATGCGAGCGATCAATGATTGTGGCTGGCGAAGAGATGGCTTCGTATGAAAGGAGAAAGGTGACTTTGAAGAGCTCGGACGGCGAAGAATTCTTGGTAGAAGAAGCCGTGGCAATGGAGTCTCGGATGATCTGTTACATGATTTGGGATGGACTAGCAGGTGACGTGATTGAACTCCCTGGCGTGAAGGGTAAGTTTCTATCTATGATTCTTGATTTTTGCAAGAAACGTGTTGCATGGGCTGCTGGCGGCGATGGGACGTTGGAAGGCTTGAAATCTGATTTTGTGAATGTTGATTTGGGCACACTGATCCATCTTGGTGCAGTACTTCTTGTGTCTATTTTTTTTATTTTACCTATATCAATGAGTGATCAATGATTGTTTTACAGTTATACTTGTATATTTGTGTGGTTAAGTTGTTTATACTTGTATATTTGTGTGGTTAATTTGAGTCTCCTATAAATTTAAGTTTTGTTTTTATAAGTTTGTTCATTAAGACCACTATGTATAAGTCTCTCACAATTTTTATGTATTTACATTTATCACATCCAAAGCTTAAACATATGCATGAACTTTTAAGAAATGATAATAGTGTTATTTTTAATGTGGCATTTTGACTTGAGTTCTATGTGTGTATTAACTACTGCAATTTTTAATAGTGTTTTACGGGTATTATACTCTTTGAACATAACATGTCTCGTCAAATTTAACAATTGTATTAACTATTGCAATTTTTCAGCTTTACAAACTATACTAAAAATTAAATGTTCAATTTTTTTTAAAATAGATTCGAGGATTCCGAGCCTCTTTTGTTTGATTGATTGTCTGCTTGGATTTATGCTTCGGCTGCCAAGTAAAATTGGAATTTAGGCTTCAGCTCATTGATGTAGCTGCACATGAAATCTTCTTAATTCGTATTTAAGTTTGGTTCCATAATTGTTCTCATCTCTAATTACTTTTCATGATTTTCGTAATGTAACAGGCAAGCTTTTGTCTGAAAACAAATGATTTGGTTGATTTGACCTCTCAAACTTTAGCAAATCGGATTCAGGGGAAGACAATTGATGAGATTTGCAGGGCCTTGAACCCTGAAGAATAAAAGGAGATTCAGATGGAGAATTCGTGGACATTTGAGTGAAATGATGGTGGTGCTCTCTCTCTCTATGAGTCTCTTGAGTTTTCTATTTTATTTGATCATGTTGAGTCTAGTGTGTTCTCTATACTTATTTGAAAGTGATGATTGTCTTTTATTTCATGTTGCAAGTTTAGGGTAAGAAAGTTGAAATAACATAAGATATGTATCTCTCGAAACACTTTTGGTGCAACTTAAAGCTACCATCTATATAATTTTGACACTTGTGTATTAATATCGTTGGGTCCTTTTTAACAACTTGTGTTTAGCTATGTAATTTCTCTATTTGTGTTTACATATTACATCTATTTTCTAAAATGATCGGCTGACACAACTTTGTAAAATGTCACTCTTTTTTCTGTTATGGTTTAAAGTTGTAAATTGTGCATTTTGAACTTTGGCGACTCTGGCTAAAATGGAGCTCTAGTTTATGTTCGATTTATACTCTTTTAGTTGTTTTCAAGTTAGATTCACTTAAAAGTTACTGTTGTTATAGTTGTTGCCTACTTATTGACAAGCAACATTATTAAGCAACATATTAATTATTTTAATAAGTTTTTACTTTAAACATAAATTTGCATTTTATGAAAACATAAACGAGTTTCTTATGTTTATGTACATTTCTCAAGTGGCAGTGCCCTCTTTTCACCCCACATCCAAGTCTTCACCTGTGTGCACTTCTGGTCGTGCTAAAATAAAATTTTGCGGTTTTCACATACATACGGCCCAACTCCTATGTATTTACATATGTGATCAAAATTTTATTATTTTACCTTTATGTTATCAAAATCTTTCTTATGACATAAAACATGTCACTTTTTTTTTAAAATTTTTAACTTTTTTTTAAAATTTTTGGAAGTGTTGTAAATACATTTTCTTGCATAGATAAAAGGATGTATTTATAAAATTGAATTTCAAGTGTTTAGACATGTAAATACTTAGGAATTAACTGGTATGTTCATAGATTTTCCTTATTCTTCTAATTGGTCTGCTTCAATTATGCACTTATGTTTGTTCATTTCATGATATTTACTAGTTTTACTTATTCAAATCATTGCAAGTGTTGAGATACAAAATTAAAAAAGAAAAACGCTAAAATCAAACATATAAATAGAAATAGCGCTGTCAAAACGACTTATTGTTCACAGACAGTTCAATTCGTTAAGTAGCTCGTGTTCGATTCATTCGCTAAGCAAACGAGCCGAACACGAACAATTTTCTTACACTCGATATATGATATATAAACAAGCCGAACACGAACTAAGTTTTGTTCGTTCGTGTTCTGCTCGTTTTTGCTTGATGGGCATTCTTGGAGTGATTTTGGTGCGATTCTTGGCTTTTGTCGAGGGATTGTTCTGAACCGTCTGTAAGACCTTCTCGGCTTTGATTTGGCTTGGAGTTGTTGCGTGTTCTTCGAATTTTCTCGTTCCGAGTTCATTAATGGCTTCAACAAGTCGTACGAATGTACCTTCTTACATAGATGTTGTATATGGTAATGTTTATGAATTACCTAATGTTCTATTTCCTAATTCTTTCAAAGATCGGATGGAAGAAGATGCTCCTGATAATCTCTTTAAGAAACCAACAAAAAAGAACGGTAAACCCGCCATTCATTTTCAAGTAAGAGAAACTAACATTTTTACAAAATCCTTAAATTTTACCCTGATTGGTAAATTTGCCTTAGCACATCCGTGATTCAAAATTATTAGAAAGTTCTTTTCTGACGTAAAACATGTAGGTAAATGGAGTTTAAGTCTAATTGATGGTCGTAACCTCATGATTAAATTACAAGAAGAGGAGGATTACACTTCCTTATTTGCAAGGAAATTTCTTACAATAGATAAATGTTATATGAAGTTTCTAAAATGGACGCCAAATTTTAATCCTTCTGAGGAATCACCCATTGTTTCGATTTGGATTCATTTACTAGGACTTAAGCTTCATTTATTTCATCCACTAGTGTTATACTCAATTGGTTCTATATTTGGTTATCCTTTAAAGATGGATAGTGCAACACTGCGTTGTTCTTGACCATCGATGGCTAGGATATTGGTTGAGAGAGATTTTACGGCTCAATTCCATGATTCTATATGGATTGGGGATGAGAATACGGGGTATTGGCAAATTGCGGAAATGGAATTTGTGCCACCATACTGTTCCAAATGTAAGATGTTTGGTCATGTGATTTCTTCATGTTATAAAGCTCATCCTGAATTAAGACCGCCTAAACGTGTACTAGACTGAAGCCTAAAGGCGTTCTTGTAGAAACTCAAATCAATAATGGGGATAATGATCCTAGTAGACACAGGTTGTCTGATGAGATGATTACTTCATTTCCTGATAAAGAAAATGTTCCAGAGACGATCAATAATCAAGATCTTCAAAATTTAAATGAAACGGTTCTCAAGGTTTCTGACTTGAATAAGGAGGATGATACTATGATCAATAATTCCGATACATTACTTCCAGTTTTTGATCCGATTAATGATGAAATAATTATTGTTACAAATCTCATTACTAATGATAAAGATTTGGTATTGGATGACAGTTTGTTTTTTACTCAAAAAGAACTTGAAGAAGATTGGTTAATACAGAGATCTTCAAGAAAAAGGAAATTTAAGACTTAAGAGAGCTTGGTTATATTAATCCATAAGCTCTCAATTCTCTGAGAACAGGTAAAGAAGATGAGGTAAATCCTTCTTGCTCTAGGCAAAGTAGAGGAAAATCAATTGTTGATGATGTTTAACACCTTAATATGGAGTATTAGAGGCATAGATAAACCGGTGCCTCTGCAAGGTTAAAGAGATTGATTTGTACTTATAATTTGCCTTTCTTTGTTATATTGGAACCTATGGTGGCAGCTAAGAATAATGAGAAGTTTATGTAAAGGTTTGGTTCTTTTCAAAATTTAGCCAATCTTAATAATAAGATTTCGTTGTTTTGGAAGAACATCATAAAAATTGATATTCTTATCAATCATGATCAGTTTTTACACTTCCGTATTTATCATAATAACGATTCCTTCATTTTTTCAATTATATATGTTGATTGTTCTAAACAAGCTCGTTTAGATCTTAGGAATCCTATAACTAACATTAATACCAACTCATAGCCTTGGCTTTTGGGTGGAGATTTTAATTTGATTTCTTCTGTTTTGGAAAAGAAAGGAGGTGTTGCTCCTAATCGCAATCTCATCTCTTTTTTCAACAATTCTATTCTGGATGCAGGTCTTTTTGATTTGGAATCCAAAGGAATTCCTTTCACTTGGCATAGAAGTAGTACTTTTGAAAGATTGGTTAGGAACCTTTCTAATGCTGCTTGGGCTAACAAAATTTGTTCTGAAGTAACTAATTTAACTATCACTACTTCTGACCATGCTCCCATCCTATTGAAAACGAGAAATTCTTTTTCTAAAATTCCTTTTCAATTCTGTTTTTTATAATACTTGTCTACTTCATGACAATTTCAAGACATTCCTTAAAGATAACTGGCTAAATTTGACTGTGGGAAATGCGGGGTATTAGCTGTGGAAGCTACAAAAGAATTTGGCCAACATACTAAAATGCTGAAATTAGGAGGTGTTTGGGAATAGTATTATGAATACTGAGAAGCTAGAAAAGAGAGTCAATACTTTGGAGTTAGACTATGCCAACCAACACATATAATGAGATGTTCTCTTTCAATGCCATCATGAGTTGAATAAAGCTATCATGATGGAGGAATTTTTCTTGCTCAGAAAGCCAATAAAATTCACTATTTGGAGGGCGATAGAAATTCAACATATTTTAATGCCTATATTAAAAACAGAAAAAGAAGCAATCTAATAACTTCTATTTACTGCAATGATGGTACTATCATCACTAACCACCAAGCTATTATTAATGATGACATTAAGCATTTTTCTAACATCTTTACTCTTGATGAGAGTTCATTACAAGCTTTGGATACTTCATTGTATGACACTGTTTCTGGCACTTTTGGTATGAATCTTATTAGTATACCTAGTGCTTTGGAAATCAAAAGCACACTTGATTCTAAGGAGGATGGGAAATCAGCTGGGCCTGATGGGTTCATTGTTGAATTTTATAAGAATGGTTGGGAGATTATTCACCCAGAGTTGGTTTTTCAGAGGCGTTGATTTTCCTCGGGATTTTAAGTCTTCTAATTTGTTTTTTATTCCTAAATCCAATTATGCTTCTTCTTGAGAAATGTATAGACCTATCAGTATTAATATTGTGGTTACTAAGATCATTTCTAAAATAATGGTTAACATACTGCATCCTATCCTTCAGAAGATTATTTCTAATAATCAAAGTGTTTTTGTGTTGGGGAGGAATATTAGTGATAATGCACCGACTTTCCAAGAACTTCATATGGACTTTGATAATAAGAGCAGAGGTGTTAATGTGATTTTTAAGCTTGACAAAAGAAAGTTTTTGATTTAATACAGTGGGAATTTATCATGGATGTTCTAAAAACTATTGGCATTCTGGAGAACTTTTGTTCTCTTATTCATAGAACTATGCATAACAATTTCTATTCGTTACTTTTTAATGGTCAAAAGCGTGGCTTCTTTAAAGCCGCCAAAGGCATCAAACAAAGAGATCCGCTTTCTTCTAATTTTTTTATTATTGCTTTTGACCACACATCCAGAAATCTCATTTATTTGTTTATTAAATACCCTTCTCTTAACTATGTGCACAAAGGCAGGAAGAGTATCTCTCATCTTTGCTTTGCAGATGACTTAATAGTCTTTACCAATGCTCACAAATGCTCTATTAAAAAGGTATGGGATGTTTCGCAACATTTTCATCTTGCATCTGGGCTCTTTTTTAATATTTCCAATTGTTCATACTATTGTTCAAAATATATCCATGTTCCTAAAAAGAACTGGATTTCTGATACGGCTTACAGTAGAAAAGCTACTCTACATATTAATTATCTTGGTTTTGAATTAGACAGAGGGCAAAAGAGAATAGCTTCTTGTTTGCATTTGGTTGATAAAGTGAAACAAAAAATTTTATCGTGGGAGAATAAATTTCTTTCTTATGGTGGTAGAATTACTATATTGAAGAGTATCATATGTTCACTGCCTCTTTACTCCTCACAAGTCATGAACGTGCCATTGAGGATCATTAAAAAGCTGGAATTACTTTTTAATAATTTTTTA